TGTGCTGGGAGGAGAGCGAGATGCCTGGGGACCCTGGGGTCAGAGCTGGGCGGCCTCACAGCGGAGTTTGGACGGAGTGGGAGGAGAAGGGCGGGGGAACATTGTGTCCAGTCACCCACCTCCGAGGTAACCAAAGCCGCGGCCAGGAAGGGCGGGGTCCTGGATTGCCAAGTGGGAGGGGAGCTGATGAAGCGGGTGGAGCGTGGAAGGAACCTCTTTGTGGGTGGGGGAGGGGTGAAGGGAGGTGGGGGCTGGCATCCTCAGACAACTGTCTAGGTGACAGTGCCAGGGGGGACCTGCAGTGGGGAAGTGGACGCCCACCCGGAGCAAGGCCTGGTCCTACGGGACGTAAGTGGACCGGCGAGCGGGCGCTGTCCGCGGTGCTGAGCCCGGGCCCGGCGCGCGCGCGGACTCACTTGGAGAAGCAGTGTGCTGCGGTCAGCACCCAGCGCGCCGTGATGAGGCTGCCCCCGCAGAAGTGGCTCCCGTTGCGCTGGATGCTGACTTGCCACGGCCACTCGCGTTCCTTCGCGTCCTCCCCGCCCACCATCCGGTTCAGCATTCGGGGCCGGCCGCAGGCTGGGGAAACGAGCGGGCTAGGGCTTAGTGGCTGCTCCGGGGCCCTTCCGGCAGCCGCTCTGCGGGAGCCCCGGGTACAGGCTGACCTGGGCCTGAAATGGTGGCACAGGTCCTGTCCTACTTGGCACGACACGGGGCCTCAGTTTGGTGTGGGGACACCAGATGGGATATGTATGTGTATGGAGGGGCATCACTGTTAGACAGAGCCCCCTCCTGTGTTCCTGCGATGACAGGGCTTTCCTGTGGCTTCAGACCCCATGACCCTGGGTCTCATCTTGATGCCCCCAGGGAGTGCCCTAGGTGCTAGGACTTTCTCCCCCACCCGTTTTGGGGCTCAGTTAATCTCAGCCACAATTGAAATGATTTTGAGGTCCTCGTTGTCCAGCCCCATGTGTGCAGGTGTGTGAACATGTAAGTGTATGTGTGCATACGAATGCATGTGTGCAAGTGTATGGGTGCCAGTGCACGTATGTGTATGTGGACATCTGCATGAGTCCATGTGGACATGGGTACACATGTGCAGATGCACATGCTAGTGCGTGCATGCACAGTGTGCATGTGGATGCATGTGCATGGATATGGATGTACATGTGTGTGTTTATGAGTGTGTGCATGTATGTGCATGCATATGTTGAGTGCATACTTGCATGAATGTGCATGTGTATGTGAATGCATGTGTACATGAGCTCACATTTTTGAACATGTGAGCAAACACATGCATGTGTACATGTGCATATGCATGAATATGAATATTGTATATGAATGCATGCGTGCATGTGAGCACACTTGTGTGAGTGTGCATTTCATAGGTATGTGTGTGTGCATTGCACAAGTGTGCGTATGCGTGACTGCACATACATGACTGTATGGGGGGGACAAATATTTCCCCTTTGGCTTCAAGAATCAGTTCCCTTTGTGTCTTGTTCCCCAGCATCTTGGAGTCCCCAGGCCTGCCAGCTCCAGCCCCCTGACCCCGGGGGAGCTTTGCTTGTTTGTACCTCTTGATGCCTTGGTCCCCCGAGTCCCTGGAAATGAGGAAAAAGGTGATGATCAGCAGTGTTGAAGAAGCCAGAGTCTGCCCCTCCCCTGACCAGCCTCCCCGACTGCTGGACCCCTCTCTCCCAGTCTCAGAGGGACAATGAAGAGGCCAGTTCAGCCCCCAGGCCAAGCCAGTGGCCAGAGCTTGTCAGTAAGGCTGGGTGAACTTCTCACCACCGGGGATCTGAGGGTGCCAGGGAGGGCCCCTGCTGGGGTGGGTGATGCCCCTCTCCTCCCCAGAGGGTCTCTTCTACAGCCATTCTCATCTGTCCTGGCCGGGGAATGAGTATCAAGACGGCTCAGAGCTGGGGTCGAGGAGGGGTCCCTGGTGGAGAGGAGGGGCTGCTTCTGCATTTTGAAGACCTGGGGGTTTTCTCAAGAAGCCCTAGTGGTACAGAGGTTGAAGCACTTGACTGGTAGAACCAGAAGGTCAGCCGTTCGACCACCAGCTGCTCCCTGGGAGAAAGGCGGAGCAGGCAGTCCCTGTAAAGGCCGACAGCTGCAGAAAGGCTCTGGGACAGTTCTACTCTAGCCTCTAGGGTTCCTGAGAGTCGGAGGGGCTCCACGTGGGCTCAACGGCAGTGGTGGGCTTGGTGGGATGCGGGAGTGTCATGGTTCTGCTGCTCAGAAACGGCTCCAAGCTTTCCTTCCTGGCTGCCTCCCATCCTGACCTGGGGCCACACCAGCTCTTTCAGTTCCCAAAGTCATCTTGGGTGGCCACAGCCCGTGAGGTTCCCCACAGCCACCCCCTCCCTCAGGCCTCCACATGCTCTGTCTTGGGGCCCTCAGAGACCCCTGGTGCCTATGATATGGCAGTCCAGGGGGCCGGCAGAGGAGTGAGAGTGAGGGTTATTCTGGGGGAACCAGAAATGGAGACAGACTCCTTTGCTCACATCCCACACCTCTGCTTAGAGAAGCATGCCAGAGTCCCCACTCCAACCTTAGCCCCTGGCCCTGGCCCTGAGACAGGAGTGTACCCCCTGCGCTGCAACTCTCTGAATGCGCATGTCCCTGGAGATAGCCCTCTCAGCCACCCCCCAGCATGTCCAGTGCTCTGTGGGTGGCCTCAGTCAGGGCTCCAGCGAGGTCTTCAGAATGATGCCCCTCCCCTCCTCAGCACCTTCCCTGAGCCCCTACCCCTGCTGGGCCCCAGGAGGAGCAGTACTGTGGGTGATGTCTTAGTTCCTGGAGCAGGAAAGATAACCAACCCGAGGGACACATCCCCGCCGGGGCTCCGGGACCTCAACGGTTTTCCCAGAGCCCCTTTCTTCCAGTGAGAGTCTCAGTCTTCAGGGCTACTGCCCTGGCCCATGCTGAAGAACCAAGGAGGCCCAGCTGCGATGGGCAAGAGGAGGGACAGGCACTGGGAGGCTGAGAAGGCTCAGGGCAGGGACTGGTCACTTTTCCACGGAGAGGTGCCACACAAAAGGTAAGGGTGGGGTCATGCATTGAATTATGTCCCATTCCCCCCAATACGTGTCCACTTGGCTGAACCTCAATCCTTAGTTATATAATGCTGGAATCGTCACCCCCCACCCCTGTCCCTGTTGTGAGGTAGTCTGATGTGATCAGCCAGTCAGTTGTAAGGGGCTGTGGTTGGGATCTAACCTCTTGATCTGATTTAAGTCACAGCTTTGACCAATGTAAAGGGAGTTTCCCTAGGGTGTGACCCGAATCACCCTTTATCTAAGAGAGAGAGAAAAGGAGAGAGAAGGGGGCTGAAAGAGAGAGCGCGCGCTCAGTTCCATCACAAAAGAAGAGCCAGAAGCCGAGCACGTCTTTTAGAACTGAGATTCCCAGTGCTGAGAACCTCCTAGACCCGGGAAGATCGGAAGATGCCAAGACACAGGGAGATCTCCGCGGAATGTCAGGCCCATAGATGTTGAAAGGAGACCAAGACCTTCCCCAAGAGCTGACACAGAGAAAGACAGCCTTCTCCAAGAGAGGGCTTCTCCAGTGTTCTGAATTTGGACCTTCGGCCTCCAAAAATGGCCAGAGAATACATTTCTGTTTTTACAACAGTCTACCCATTTGTGATCTTTCTGTTACCGGCTTGAGAGGTGTCCAAGGCAAAAATGCCAGAAGTTGCCCTGGGCTTCCTGCTCACTTAATCTATGTTAATGAAGTGCCCTTTTAAAAATGCAGATAACACCCCTATTCCTATCAGCCTTTTACAGCATAGTATAATTAGATTTATGACACCTGATCCCCTCCTTTATTCTTTCTGCTTACAAAAGCTGCCCGAATTTACCCACACTCTGTCGTGGTGGACTCTAGCACACTTTAGGGCCTTTGGCTTTTTGGGGGGCTTGCAAGTTCGTCTTCTTGGATGCCCTACCTGAGGGGGTAGAGCCTCTCAAATCATCCCTATCCTTTGGGCCCACGACTTCCAGCACTGAGGCGACTCCTCCCTCCGTCTGGTCTGCTCTTGCCTCTCACTGTGGAGCTTATGCCACCCCCCTATCTGTTCTCCCCTCTCCTAGGTTTTCTCCCAAGTCCTAGTTGCCGCCCACGGCTGGCCTTCACTTCCTCTGGGAAGGTTTCCTTGCTTGCACTGCCCATCTGGGAAGCTTGGCTTCCTCTTGTCCCTCCCCTGGGCTCTGCCCACCTCTTCCCAGAGCTGCAGGCTTCTCTCACCGGTGAAGACACAGCGGCAGTGTCAACAGCCTGAGCACAGGGCAGAAGGAACAATCATGGGCCAAGCCAGGATTCACTGGGGCGGGGGTGGGGGAAGGCAGGGGGCTGGGAGGAGCTGGGTACTGAGAGGGGGGAGTGTCCTTTGGGGGGCCAAATGGGACAGCCAGTGCACCAGGCCTGTCACTCCTGAGCCTAGGGCACTGATGCTTCTACAGCTGGCTGAGATAGAGCTGGCTGGCTGGACCGGGAGGGGCCAGGCAGGGTCTGGGGCCAGCAGCGGGCTGGGGGTGAGGGTGGCTCAGCTCATGGCCTGTTTGGGAGGCTGCCCTCTCCGTTTGGCAGGGACCTCGATTACTCAGTCCCACAGGAGCCATTCCCCGATACACACCCCGGTGGAGTCTGGCTGCCTCAAAGAACCCTATTATCCCTGGGCCAGGAGGGGGCAGGGGCAGAGAGGACAGGACAGGCCCTCTCCGGGCCCAAGCTTGTCAGGGGCCCTTCCATGGAGGTGCCACCCTGCCACCAGCAAGAACGAGGAAGCCTGGGGCCTGGCCACAACCTGGGAGGTGAACTGAGGACAGGGAAGTGTGGGGGCTGGCCGGGCTGGCCCAGGAATGCAGGAAGGTTTCCCTAGCTGAAGGGGCACACCCTGCGGGGAGCGGCCTGGCACCTGCTGACCCTGGCCTAGGACTGGGCGAGAAGATCATAGAGGCCTTGCCCAGTCCCCTATCCATTTCTCTCGGGGGGTGGGGTGGACACCTGCAGCCCACACCTCTGCCCAGCTCTCTGCCAAGGTTCCTCTATCAGCCTTCTGGAGCTTCCAAGGACAGCAGGCAGCCCCAGCCTGGCCACCCTCCCCTGCCCCATTGACAGGTCCAAGTGACTGGAAGATTTGCTGGGGAAAGCCATGGTCTGAAAGTTTTGTGTGTGTGTGTGTGCTGAGGGGCTAGGATGGGGGAGCACATGAGTTCCAGGAAGGGGGCAGACAGCAATGACATCACTGCTGAAGGGGGGCTCCCAGGCTTGCACCTCAGCCCCCTCCCAGTCTGCCTTCCCCATTCGTTTCCCTCTCCCCCCCCCCCATCCCCCCAGTCATCTGGAACCTTCCAGCCTCGGGCACCACTGCTGGGAGGGGCAAGGAGGCCAGGTTGCAGCTGGAAGCTTGGGGCTGGCAGTGGCCTCCGGGCAGGGAGGTCCCCTCAGGGAGCTGCACTCACCCAGTTTGAGCAGCAGCAGCAGCAGCGCCACAGCAGGGGGCCTCATGGTCTGGGCCTGGCTGGGGGCAGTGGTGATGGCCCTTGGGGAAGCACAGGCGAGCTGCAAGGCTCCATGAAGTGGGGTTTTATGTCGGGCGGTGGTGAGTGTGGGCTCGGCTATGCAGTCTGACCTGTCCACCCAGCCGTCCCGCCTTCTCTCCGCAGGAAGGAGGCACCCCAGGAGCCCCATGACCTGACTCTGAACCCCCTGAGCCCAGCTATACCGGAATCCCACTGCACCCCAACACCCCGTGGTCCCAGATGACCCATAAGTGTCCACAGGCTGGACATGAACGGATCAAATCACCCTTTCCTCTTTCCTTCCTTCCCTCCCTCCTTCCTTCCATCCTCCCTCCGTCCCTCCCACCCTTCTGTCCATCCATCCGTGCTCCTTTTGTTCCTGAGGGTCTCAGGCAGGACAAACACCAGTATCTGTGGCTGGCAAGGCTACTACTATTACTGAATGTTCTGCTCCAAGATGCTAAAAACCGGAATCTCCCATCAAAAGGGGGGAAAATGCAGAACAGAGTTGTAAATAGATCCAGAACAGTCTTTCCAGAGCCACGGAGTTGGGATGAACCCATGAACCATGGCCTCTTTAAACGGTGAGGCAAACATAACCTCAGAAGTCCTCTTAGAGCCCAGCAAGAGTGGAGGTTCATTCATTTAAAACAAGATTAAAAAAAAAGTCTTCCCCAGCCTTGTGCTCAAAATTGTAAGAACTTTCTCAATGGGATCAGCTCGACCTTGGGGGCAAGCGAGCGCGCTTGCACAAGGAGGGGGATGTGGCGAGTGTCGCGGGATCGTGCATGGGGGGGAGCGGTGGGCGCGGTCTGCGCTCTGCTTTGTGGGGTCTCCCGACACAGTCGACAAAACCCCGGGTGCAGAGCGGGGGGAAGAGCCAGGGCTGGGGCGCGAGGGCTAAGGATGGGAACGGATCCCGGTCTTCCTCAGGGCTC